GGACTGGGAACCTAAATAAGCCACAAAAACATAAAAGTGACCAAAATAAGCCACTACTTTAGGAAGTAACTAAAATAGGCTTAGTGGAAGAAAAAATTCCACTTTATCTAATATTCTAAACGTTTTCCGTTAGTCTCATAACGTGTATATTTTAATATATAACATAATTATTTTCTATACTTTATAAAATGGAACTATTTTTTACACTTTATAAAGTGGAACTTTTTATTACACTTTTTATAAAGTGGATGGACATTGACCGATAAAGGAGAACGTTGTTGACTAGTCTTAGGCTCCTTCCTAACATAGATTTCAAGTATTGTTAACTTGATTTGATCTATGTAGTCATCTGGAACCCTCAAAAAGTCGGTCACGATTTGTCATTATAGATAATCCACTCTCCAAAATTTACTTGTCCTTGTGATAAAAATGAAGTAGGGTATTTTACGACTATAATCAAATTATAAACAGTACTGTTTATACTCATTCTTTTATAAATCGATGAAAGAAATTTATGATATCGGACATTAATTGAATATTTAGCATTGTGTTTGGGAGGACAAATTATAATAAACGGTATTTCCATCATGTATAATTTCGCCATCCCAATAAATCAAAACTCTAACTTTTGGTTTAGAAGACTTTTTTTTTTGAGATTGAAATGAACAAATATAGAAAGTATGTTGTAGGTGCTACCAGTTAATGTTTGAACGTCCTCCTTAATTAGAGATTGTAGGATTTTTCAGAATAAAAAAATAAAAATACATAGTGTAATAATTTTTCTGTTTTTATGATATGTCAAATCAATATAATTGTATAACAAACACTGCAAATGAGATAAAAACGTGAAAATATTCCTCTTTGTAAAGTGGAATTTTCTCTTCCACTTTGTAAAGTGTAAGATTTTCTTCCACTTTATAAAGTGTAAGAAAAAGTTCGCTTTATAAAGTGTAAGAAATAGTTCCATTTTATAAAATGTAGAAAATAATTCCGTTATATATTAAAATATACACGTTATAAGACTAACGGAAAACGTTTAGAATATTAGATAAAGTGGAATTTTTTCTTCCACTAAGCTATTTTAGTTACTTCCTAAAGTAATGGCTTATTTTGGTCACTTTTATGTTTTTGTGGCTTATTTAGGTTTCCAGTCCTAAATTAGATAGTAGTACAATTCATTAAAGTTCTGCATACTGCCCTTTCTTCTCCCAAGAAATCCTAGCCTGCTTTTTTCCTTTCCAAGAAAAAAAACTTTGGATTATTTATTTTTTCCCATGGAGCCCCTTCGCCTCCTCGGTACAAGAAAAAAGATATGTCTGCTCTCTCTCTATTCTTGTAAGCTTTGCCTCTTTCATTATTCTTTTCCATGGAGTAGCTAGACGTGACAACAACTTCGTCGTCGTCAACTTTCGCCGGCCATGAAATTGATCTCTTCCCCATTTTTTTTCTCGGCTTTGGTCAAAGTATTCGGATCGGATTGACCGAATTCGACACGCACCCCGCACCCGCGCTCGCACCAGTGTCGCGTCGAGACGGGTTCTGCCGCAAAAATAAAGAGTCCGCGCAACACAGTCGGGCACAAAGTTTAAGAAAAAAGAAAAGATTGTTGTGATACCTTGGATATCCACACATAATGGATCCAAAAATGTACTTTGCTGCAATGAAAGGGAGTATGGAAGATGGTGATTTTTCACTTGGTGATCATCTGAAAAGGGAGCAAGAAAATGCTTACCAAGTCACTCCAAAGGGAAACACAATCCTCCATGTGGCAGCTCTCTTTGGCCAACGAGGTTTCGTGGGAGAAGTCCTTACGATTACCCCAGCATTATTATGCTATAAGGATAAGAAAAATGAAACCGCGCTTCACATTGCAGCTAATGTAGGACAAAGTGAAGTGGTAAGTGAACTACTTAGCTCTGGAGGAGTGGAGACACTCGTGAGGATGATGGATGACATTGGAGATACGGCCTTGCACAAGGCCGTGAGAGGTGGACACATTGACATTGTCAGGATCTTGGTGAAATTATTACTAGATCCTGAACACGACTTCCCACCCAATAAGGCTGGGGTGGCACCACTTTATTTGGCAGCAGAGTCTGGTTTTCATGATGCTTTGATTGAAATCTTGAACGTTTGCAAAGAACCAACTTATGTTGCAGGTCCATCCAATCGAACACCTCTACATGCAGCCGTAATTCAAGAACACACGGGTAAGTACCTTCTGGATGATTTCATCATATATAATATGGAAAATGATTAAATTTGTCCCTCTACTAATAGAAAGAAGCTATATTTGTCTCTAAAAATACTCCTACAGGCATACTTTATGATCTTGTTGAACGGAAAAATCATCCATTTATCATCATCATATATAATATTTGACATATATATCCAGAATGCGTGAGATCACTATGGCAATGGAATAAACCTTTATGCGAAGAATCTGATAAATGGGGTTGGAATTCACTACACTATGCTGTTAAACAAGGATTGGCAGAAATTGTTTGCGATATGTTGGGATGGAAGAAATCTTTAGCCTACCTTCCGGCAGGCAGTGAAAATGATTGGACGACGGCATTTCACATTGCAGCTAGTGAAGGTGATGTATTGATGATACGTGAGTTGTTAAACCACTGCCCAGATTGTTGGGATATGCTTAATTGCAATGGCCAAAATGCACTTCATGTTGCCATATTGAACGGTCACGAAATGTTTGTCTATGTCTTCCTTGGGTCTGGAATTTCTGATAGCCTTGTTGATGAGGCAATACTCCAGTCCATTTGCTTGCTGCCTCTGGGAACCGTGTGCCTCAAATGATATTATACCATCCTAGCGCAAAGAAGATGACATTTAACAAACAAAATCAGACTCCACTTGACATAGCATTGTCTCGTACATGGACAATAAAGAAGGTACTCTCTCTTGTCCATGACGGACTGGATCGGTTTTCCCCATTTCTTTGAACTGACTCAGTCCATTGGTTTCCTTTTTTTTTTTGTTAATCAACAATGTAAATAAGATTAGCAAAAATTACAGAATTAGAGGGGGACATGGCAACCTAACCTCTAGACACAAAAAGAGAGCATACAGAGGAGTTAATGCTCCTAAGAGATCTTGTCTAAGACTAAGAGTTCTGGCACATTGAAGTGCTTTAGAAGTAATCAGTAGCTTTAGCCTAAACATACTGGCATCTACAAAAGTAAGAGAATCATGCTCGTAGCGCTACGAAGAGTGTTTTTTTGCTTGTTTTCGAGAGGACGGGAGCTGGATCTTATCAATTCAAATGGGGCCAATAGCCTCCTTAGGAAGGTCTTCTTTATGTAGGAAAATTTTATCGGGTGGTGGCATGCTTCGCAAGAGCATCTGCGACTCAGCATGCTTTGTCACGATTCCTTTATTTCTGTTATTGAACTGCTTTGATCTGTTTTTCATCGAGCCAAGGGTCTATCGGAAACAACTTCTCTACCTCCGGGGTAGGGATTATAAGGTCTGCATACACCTACCTCCGGAGTAGGGATTACACTGAGTATATTCTTGTTGTTGGTAAAGATAAAAACTAGAGTAACAATGAATTATATTTTGTGTTTTTGAAAATGACAACTATTTTGGACTATCTATTTTTGGTAAGGATGAAAATAAAATGAACCAGAGAGAAGTAGTTATTAATTCATCTTTTTCTCAAGTAGTATTATATTATCTTTCACCAGCTGATCAATTCTATTACTACATGTCACATATATTAGGAGAAATTGGTAGGCGATTTGTGCAGCATAAATGGACGATTGGGACAACGTGACTTCAAGGTGAAACGGAAAACAGAAACGATTGGTAACATACGACAGATTAAGAAGGAGGATGATCAGGACAAAGCTAAGAGAGACAAAATAGAAATAGAAAAAATTATGAAGGCAGCTCAAATACAAGTAGTTGTAGCTACTCTCCTAATGACAGTCACTTTCGCAGCTGGTTTCACATTGCCAGGAGGTTTATACAACGATGACGGTCCTAATAAAGGGATGGCAATTCAATTAAGAAAAACAGTGTTTCGTGCATTTGTTATTACAGATGTCCTGGCATTTTCATTCTCAGCTGGTGCTATATTCATCTACTTCTTCATGGCAGATAGCGATGTAGACGACGATGAAGATTTTAAAAGGGACTGGTTCAAAGTTTTAAGGAGTTATTATTACATAGCAGGGATTTTGCAACTTTTGGCAATGGGTGCAGTTGTAGTTACATTGTAACTGGTATGTATGCTACTTTAGCAAATTCACTTGCTCTTGCTGTTAGTGTTTGTGTCATTGGTTGTGTCTCTTTTCTTATGTACTTTTCGATTATCTTTTGGGTATAGAAAACCAAGAAGAAACTCTTAAGAGCTCTTGCTTTTTAGGCCTATTGAGCCAACAAACATACTTTGTAGTCATGCCCAAGTTGCCACCAAATACTTGGCCCAAATATGTATTAAATTATGGTTAGATTATATGATCTAGTATAAATATTGAGTGCTAAATAAGTACTTATTTCTATGTTCAAGTTTATTTAGTGAATTTGTATTGAACTTTGAAAAATCTAGAATGGTAATTATTCTCCAAACGATGGTTGTATATGAAATTTCCTTTCTTCAAATATTAAAGACTCTTAACTTAAACTAGACTAGATGAAAAAACATTATTTTGAGAACTTTACTATTCATGTTTTAGAAATCAAACTATTCAAGACTTCTTTTTTTTGTTTATAATTTTCTTCTTTCCTCAAATAAAACCTACTAAAATAAAAGGTCAAAATGTCAAGATTAGACAGAAATATATATTTTGTAAAACTTGGGTTCCATAAAAAATTAAATATTCATAATCACATCGTCCTATATTAACAAGTCTTCTTCATTTATGGACTTCATTTGTCAGATAATCTACCTATTTGTTTGCTTCTCTCCGGATATGGATGATATTCATCTTGGTGGCATCAAGTAAATACTTGCAATCTCTTATGACGTCCATTCTTTTATGCGGAAATAATCTCTTCTGACCAATTACAATTTGGATAGAAAAAAATGACCGCATTTAAATATTTTATATATAGAAAATAAAGATCCATCACAAAAGAAACATAAAACTAAAAACAAATTTTGGACTATTTTCTTTGTCCTTTTTTATTGCTTAATATTTTACTTCCTCTCTGTCTCAGTCCCTTTCTCTATCATCATAATCCAATGGTTGTTAATTGTTATCCTTGAGACTTGGTTGTTAATTGTTATCCTTGAGACTTGGTTGTTAATTGTTATCCTTGAGACTTGGTTGTTAATTGTTATCCTTGAGACTTGGTTGTTAATTGTTATCCTTGAGACTTGGTTGTTAATTGTTATCCTTGAGACTTGGTTGTTAATTGTTATCCTTGAGACTTGGTTGTTAATTGTTATCCTTGAGACTTGGTTGTTAATTGTTATCCTTGAGACTTGGTTGTTAATTGTTATCCTTGAGACTTGAAGTGGGTCCATCCTATCAATTTCCTAGCCAATAATAATATGCCACGTGTATGAACATGTGATGATTAAACATCAAAATTCCCTAATTGAGTCATAAAGAGTGAGAATGCCATAAGAAATTATTGTATTATGTTATGTTCTTACCAACTAAGGAATCAAAGAATCTTTGTTGGGTTTTAGCGTTGTAGAGAAACAAGAAGAACAAAAAAACACCTATAAGGGTTATACTGGTCTTTTAGATTTTATCAATCATAGAAAAAAAAGGTATGTTGAAGAGCTAGCTACCTAATCAAATCTTTCTTTAGTTTTACTGTTTTCCCATGTTGGGTTTACCTAAATACTCATTTTTTCCATGTGGGGTTTACTTTTTGTGAATGAATATGAGTTAAAGATGGGATTTTTATTACACAGTGTTGAAAAAAGATAGTGTTTTTATCTTGGAGTGAGAAAATGTGTATTTATCTTTGTTGCGTACTATTTCCTCTTTTCTAATTTGTTTGTATTACTTTAATTTGTCGAAGTTTAAGAAAATAAATAAGACGTTTGAATCTTGTGTTATTAATGTTGTAGAACGTATGAAAATGTCATTTAATTTCTCTTACTTGAAAAAAAGCTGAGGTTTTTTCCCCTTTGAAATTTCAGTTTGAGTCATTGGTTGGTAACTACTGGACTTAACTTTTGCAATCCCCTTTCTTAATTTAGATTGTTGATCTTATTTTTGGATGTTATGCATAATTTCTTTTGGTACATTGGAAAGAAGAATAAACTACATAATTTTTTTTAAAAGTTGTTCATAACCATTATGCTTAAGTTCGCTAGGAGAAGAAACTTTATGTTCTTAATAGTACTAGTTTCTGGCAACGTGCGTTGCACGTTTATCCCTTACTATTGTTATATAATTTAAAAATGTGTTATCAAATAGAAAATGCTTAAATCAACAATATTAATTTTACCAATTACATTTCATGTATTAAATAAAATACATAAAAAGGGATTGAGCATTTGGCATCAAACATGTGAAATTAATTAAGATAATATAGTCTCTTAACTCTGTGTCACTGTGTGTGCGTCTTTTTTATGAATTAAATATCATTGATAACCTTTTATAGCCATGAATGGATTAAAAAAAATCATGCAGGTTTATTGACAAGATTGCCTATTTTATTTTAATGAGAAATGGAGCGTGAAATATTTGTATTATTTAAGTAAAGTTCTAGAATTAAAAGGCTAATCAAAGAATACATGAAGATACACTTTCAAAATTTTACAAGATTAAAAAGCAATTACATCCAAAATATAAAAGTGACAGATAAAGAATTAACAAACTGGACTTCATACATACAACTATTCCAAAAGCTCATAATAATAGCTAAAAGATCACAACACCACAATGAGTTCATTAGAAATGCAAAAGAAATTATAAAAAAACAATAATCTTCCTAATGGAGAACCGAAAGAGATATGAGGACTTAGGCATATCTAAAAAGAAGTCTTCTCCCATGTATTCTATTTACTCCTTTATACCATTTCTTCCTATCTTTTTTGCCTATCATATATAGATGCGATAGTTTTTTTGATTATCCTCTTTTCAAGTTGAATGACATGAGTTTCTTTCATTTTTCAATGGTTATCATCCCGTTCTTAAATAGTAGTGAAAATGTCTGTTCAAATTCCATTTTCAGTTCTAAATAATAGTCTTTTAATATATAGATGGGAAGATGAAAAATACAAATCATAATTAGACTAAGTAAGAGAATTAACATTACCACTAATTACTACTCTGAACGTGATGAAATCTAGTCTAATTTAAATGGATAAGAAGATGAAAAATATAAATCATTGTAATTAGTAATAAATAAGGCAATTACAAACCATCTCATTAATTATTAATTTGATATTAATTCATTCATATATAATAATACACTTTTAATACCTTAGTAATAAATCAAATAAATAAAATCAGTAGCATTAATCGGGTAAATGAGGGGTCTTTTCATATACCAGTAATTATTCTAGGCTATACATACATGTACAATTGATATTATCTAAAAATATATCTTTTCACATTCCAAGCATTTAATTATTTGCTTAGTCCTTTGAGTTTCTTCTGCTAATATCATTTATGGATAATGTCTAATCTATACTTCATATAAGTAGAGAAAAGTGTTAAATCACTTGATAATTTTTCTCTTTCTTTGTCAGAAATTTCCTTTAATTCTTACTCCTAGAATTCAGGCTTGAGAACGTTGGAATATAAAATTTACTTTAATTTTTTTTTTAACAGGCAGATGATTAAAACAAAAAACTGCACATCTTTAGAAAATGTGGAGCATTAATATAGAAATGCAAGTAAACCTAGAAATAGGGCTGTTTAACTTCTTATGTAATCTCCCTAAAATGTGTAATTAAGTCTTCAAACTTTTAAAATTTTACTATAAACTCTTGAGGTAATTTTAATTTTACTATTTACTATTAAATTAATTAGATGTTTGATTATTAACTCACCCTAGAACGTGTATTTAGTCTTAGTTAATTTAAATTTTACTATTTATTATTTAATTAATTAAATGTTTGATTTAGTGTAGGGGTAAAATGGTAATCTAACTTTTCACTTTTGAAGCTTCCCACTTATAATAATA